AAGAGGCCATAGGGGGGTTCCTGGGGCTGGATATTTGCAGCCAGATGAGCAGGCAGCAATCCACCCTACCATTAGCCCCTCCCAACATGGCCCAAGGCAGGGCAAAGCAGAGGCCGTCAGTCTTGGAGAGAGGGAGCCTCCCGTTCAGGGGCAGGAGGCCAGCCTGGGGCAAGCCATGGCCATTCCCTGGGCCCCTTCCATGGCCCTTCCTGATGGGTGTGACCTTGCTGAAGATGTGGGACAACTCGGGATTTATTGTAGGGCCAACATGAGGTTCAGCTGCTCCCGAGAGGAAACCTTCTGAGATCAAAGCAATGAACCAAAAGAGGAAAAGAAGAATGTGGAAGAGCAACAGAACCAAAAGCTGTGTCTAGCACACAATGCACACGAGACAGCCTCCTCATAAAATGGATCAGGACACAAGAGAAAGGATGAAGTACAATAAAATACAGAGTCAAAAAGAAGAAGGACATGGACTTAACAGGGATTAACAGTAATTTAAAACTATTGCAAATGGTTACATGCTTATAAATTTGAAAGCTTAGGGAAAAGGAAGAAATGTATAGAAAGTTATAAAATGACAAAAGTTTGGCCCAGAAAGAAATAGAGAATTTAACTAGGTCAATCAGTATTATTAAAACTGAAATGGTAGTCAAGCCCTCCCACCCCCCAAAATCAGACCCAGATGCTCTCATGGGTGAGTTCTGCTAAATTTTTAAGAAACAGTTCATGGCTATCTCATACAAGCAAGTAAAAAAAAAAAAATGATGCCACCCTCGTTTATTTTATGAGACAAGAGTCATCATGGTTGCAAAACCTGGATAAGACAACATACTAAAAGGAAATTATAAACCCATCCTGTGTTTCTACTTAGGAATACAGGATGGCAAAACATTAATCCAAATATTAACCAACTGAACAGTGCTCACATATTGATACTGTCTCACCATCAGGAAGGGTCTATCTCAGAAATGCATCAATGTCAGAAAATCCACCAGTATAATTCACTACATCATGACATCAAAGGTAAAACACCAATGCTCATATCAACTGCAAAAGCACTTGCTAAGATAGTTACATATTTATGATTTTTTTAAAATCCTGAACAAACTAAGAACGTAAGAAAGTTCCCTAATTTCGTTGAGATTTAAGATTAAAAACTAAAACAAAAATAGAAAACCATTCAGCCCAGCTGGTGTGGCTCAGTTTGAGCATCGACCTATGAACCAGGAGGTCACGGTTCGATTCTCGGTCAGGGCACCAGTGGAAGAATGTGGGAGAGCAATAGAACCAAAAGGTGCGGGCTTAAGCCCTGGGGTCCCCCGGGCCAGGCCTCCTCCATGGTCATCTTGTCGGCCTGGGACATGAGCAGCCGCTGGATGCTGAGGACAAGGAGGGACGCACCGGGTTAGGCTGCTCTGGAGAGAGGGCCAGCCCTGGCCAGTGTGGCTCACGGACAGAGAGCCAGCCTACGGACCGAAGGGCCCTGGATCCCATCCCGGCCGAGGGCACATGCCGGGGTTCCCGCGCAGCCCATCAGTGATTCCCTCCTATCACGGATGTTTCTATCTCGCCCTCCCTTTCCTTTCCTCTCTGAAGCCAATAAAAATATGTTTTAAAAAAAATAAAAATAAAATAAAAGTTGCGTGCTTGATCCCTAGTGCAGGAGGCAGCCGATCAATGATCCTCTCTCATTGATGTTCTCTCTCCCATTCTCCCTTCCTCTCTGAAATCAATAAAAAATATATATATTGAAAAAAAAGAAAAGAAAAAAAGAATGTGAGAGGTGTGTCTGCACAGCTGCGGGCATTGCTGTCCGAAGAACAGCAGGGTTCAGTTGTGGAGGAAGGAGGGGAGAAGGATATTGGTTTGGGCACCCATCAGGCTCGGCCACAGACCCTGATTTCCAAAGGAGGACAGTGAGGCCCAGAGAGGAGAGGAAACTCACGCTGGCCATCAAGCACCTGAGGGGCAGACTTAGGGTTTCACCTGAATGAGTCTTGATCTTCCCACGTGTGGTACAGGTGTCCCCTCTCAACTGCATATCCGGCCATGGGAGCACTGACCCTGCTCACTCCCAGCCCTGCTTGGGTCCGGGTCTGCTTTGGGTTTCTCTGTTCCCGCCTAGAGTCACCCCTGGGAGCTCCCTAGCGCCGGGCAGCTTATGCCCGGCCTCTCCAGCACCCATCACAGGGCGTGGTGAGCTGTGAGGTGCAAGGAGCAGGACAAACTGCGTGGCTGGAACCGACTTCATCCTTTCAATGTCATCCACTTTCTCATGGCTTTTATGCTGTGCCCTGACCTAGGAGCATCTCATGAGTTTCACTTTTCAGATGCATTTTCTAATTTTTAAAAAATATATTTTATTGATTTTTTTTTTTTTTTTTTTTTACAGAGAGGAAGAGAGAGGGATAGTTAGAAACAGTGATAAGAGAGAGAGAGAAATATCAATCAGCTGCTTCTCGCATCCTCCCTCCTCCACTGGGGATGTGCCTGCAACCAAGGTACATGCCCTTGACCGGAATCGAACCCAGGACCTTTCAGTCCGCAGGCCAATGCTCTGCCCACTGAGCCAAACTGGTTTCAGCCAGCATTTCCTAGCTCTTAACGCGCTCTGCCTGGCCCAGGTCTGATAGAACATGTAGGCCACCTCCACACAGAACAAGGCAGAGAAGCCCAACTATGTACCTCAGATCCCGAGATGCCTATGGCAAAGAATATGCCACATGTCCCTCTTCGGGTTCCTCTTCCGGGTCCACAGAAAGACGACATTTTCTAGCCCTCTTTGCCGTTAAGTTGAGGACATGTGACTACTTCTGCCCAATAAAATATAAGCCTAAGGGATGAACGTCCCTTCTGGTCCGAGGTGGCGAAAGGCCCGTGTGTTTTCTCCACCCTTCCTCTCCAGGTGACCTTGGAGACCCTTGGTGGAGACCAGTGATTCACAAACTGTAATATGCATACCAGTCTCTTGGGGGTATTATTAAAATGAAGGTTCTGAATCATTTCAAACAAGCAACCAGGTGGTGCATGCTTTGGAGCAGACATCTGAGTAGGGAAGACTGCAGGGGGCGGGGGGCGGGCGGGAGGGAAGAGGGGACGCGGGTCCAAGACAGAGAGGACCTGCCCAACTTCATTGGACCATTCGTGAACAGAAGGAAACCTCCGTTGGGTTAAACCAGTGGTCGGCAAACTCATTAGTCAATAGAGCCAAATATCAACAGATTGAAATTTCTTTTGAGAGCGGAAAACCAACTTCTGCACATGGGCCACAAAGTTTCAATTGTACATGCGCGTCCACACATGGTATTTTGTGGAAGAGCCACACTCAAGGGGCCAAAGAGCCGCATATGGCTCCTGAGCCACAGTTTGCCGACCACTGGGTTAAACCCCTGAGACTTGGGGGTTTATTTGTGACCTGAGCATAGCCTAATGTACTCCAGTGAATACTTTAGTCTAGGAAGTTGTTAGTCATTCAACCAATATTTACTGAGTTCCTACCATGCACTCATTCTATGCCCTGGACATCTTTCTCTTAAGAAAGCACTAACTCTCAGGGTCATGCAAGTGCAAGGTCGACACCTGAGAGTGAGAGCGCCTGGCACTTAGCTCCCTGGGTGCTCCTGTATCCTTCCCAGGCCCAGTGCTGTAAGTCAGTGGTGGAGCCAGGGTTTGAAGCCGGGACCTCTGACTTGAGTCTAAGTTTGTTTCCAGCAATGCAAAGGGCAGCTATGCTCATTCCAGGGTCTTTACTGGGGGACAGTAGCAGCAGCCAAAAGATTGATGGGTTCCAGGGACTGTCACATCCCTTGGTGCCAAACTTGTCAGCTGGGGGGCCTGCACCACAGGCAAGCAGTCAGCAAAGAGGCAGTTCTGGCTGCGGTCCTGCGGCATTTCACACTGACAGCTACGGGCTTCCTGAATGGCCACGTGAATCAACTCTTGACCTCATGGTTTGTAGGTCGACGCTCAATCACTGAGCCTTGCTGGCCAGGTGTCTGACCCCATCTTTCCTTGGCTCTCTGAAAAGTCACCTTCTTCAGAAAGCTGTCCTTCACCCTCACTTCGTCCTCAGTGTGCACAGAAGTTCCACCTGTTTTCTCACCGTCATCTCCTGCGCTGGGCTTTGACCCAAAGTCTGTATTGTGTATCCAGTCCCTGCAGAGGGGCCCTCAGAGATGGCTGAGCTACATGAAACAGATTCGGTTCTTCCAGATCAGCTGGTAGTGCCCAGCAAGCGCAGGCACGCAATAGGTCCAGCTTGTGTGGGCTCATCCACCGTGGCCGCCTGCCAGAGCCTGGGAAGCAGGCCCTGGGGTGGCCCCTTGTTGCCAAAAGCAAACAGGCCGCCAGGGAAGTTTTGCTCTGGGTCACACCCGCCTCTGGGTGGCTGGCTGCCAATCCTCCTGCCAGAAACCGCAGGCCCTCCGCAGCCACCCAGAGCGGCCACAGGGCTTTGGAGGACTTGGGTCAGCTCTGCTAAAGGGGTGTCTGCCCAGCGCTTCCTGGATCCACAGCCCCCCGGGGATGGGCAGGGGGTCTGGGCAGGGCGGCAGCAGCTATAGCCAAGGCTTGGGAAGGCCCTCGTGGGCTGGGAGGAGCTACAGAGGCCCCTGCCAGCCTGTCACAGGCTCTCAGTGCTGACATTGGCTCTGGCTTTCACACACACACACACACACACACACATACACACACACACACACACACACACACACACACACACACACACACACACACTGGCAGGCACCCCCTTGGTGGCCTCCACAGTCTCACCTTCAGGTAAATGCGCTCATCGGTGGGAGGCTGAGGATGGGGAGAGAACAAGTAATGCAAAGACTCATGTGCATGTAAATGTGCGTGTGTGTGTGTGTGTGTGTGTGTGTGTGCGCGCGCATGTGTTTGTGTGTGTGTCTGGGAGTGACTTCACAGCCTCCGGAACATAAAGACTTACAGATCCTGCCTCCCAGGCTCAAAGTGGGCTCCGTGGGGGACACAGTGACATGAGAGGCCCACCACAGACCCGCCTCCTGGCCTTCTCCTTCCTCTGCCTCCTCTCAAAGGTAAGGGGGGCCCGGGCCCTGAATGCTGCTGGCTTCCACGCTGCTGGGGGAGGTGTGAAATCGCTGCCAAGGAGCCCTGCGGGGCCCGTGCTGGGCACAGCCAGGTTTCCCTCCTGGGTGCCCAGACAGCTCCTCTGGCCAGCCCTCTGTGTGCCCACAGGCAAGTCCCTTCTCTCGGAGCCTCAGCTGCTCCCTCGCTTGAATGGGCACACTGTCCACGAGGTCTTTGTGAGGATCCTTTCTGAGAATTCACCTGAAGTCCCTGCGCAGGGCCTGGCACCCGGCAGGGTTCAGAAGGACGTCTCTGATTCCCACCACTCCCAGCTGCCCTTCCACAGCGCAGTGGAGTCCTCCTCGCAAAGGAGGCTCGGGAGATGACCTGCTTTGCCTGACAACGAGCCAGGATTTTAATGGAGGCTGGTGTCTACCTCATTGGGAAGGTCATTCTGCAAGGGCCCTCAGGCAGTGAGTGACCCCTGACCCTGGGTAGAGGGGACAAGGAGATACCTCCATAAAATAATGCCTTCCCTTCTGGGACACTCTCCAAAGAGCTTGTGGAAGGTCTACCTTGCCCAACAACCCTATCAGGAACTATTAGCCTGTTTTCAGTCAAGCAAGGCTCAGAGAGGGTAAGCAAGTTGCCCAAAGCCACACAGTAAAGAAACACCAGCGCCATAGAGGCGGCGGAGCCCAGGTAGGCCTGGGTGTGTGGGGATGGGGCTGGGGACTTCAGTTTCTACCTGTCCACCTCCAACCTGGACCCCAGTTCCCGGGCCCTGTCATCCCTTCAGCAAATGCTGTGCCCAGTCCCATGGGGATGGGACCCACCCCAAGCCACGACCTCACTGTATTTTCATGCTTCTTTGAGGAGCTTGGCAGGAGTTTCTCCCTCCCGCTCCCACGCTGACATGCGGGGAAGGCTGAGAACCCTGCTGGCTCCCCATCCTGCTGCTGGTTCTGCCGAAGGGGAGGGACAGCGCAGTGTGCCAGGGTGGGTGGCTGGGTGGTCGGAGCAGGGACTTGGGGTTTGGGGACCAGGATGAAAGGAAAGACCAACATTAAGCTGCCCCCGAATTGCTGTGGACCCCTTCATTCTCCCCGGGTCCCAGGGGGCCAGGCAGCATCCGACACAGAACATAGGGGCTTTGTCATCACGAACGTGAAAAGCCACCTCAATCCTCAGAGAGAGTGCCTTGTCCTCCAGGCAGGTGGCTCCTGGGCCGAGGGCTGTGGGCAGAGGTCTGGGGCAGAGACAAGCAGAGCCACGCTGGCCGGGAGCCGGCCGGGACCTCACTCAGTCCCTGTCACTCCTTCAGGTGGGTGGCTCCACCCCATTTTCCTGAGGAGGGAACGGCCCCCTCCCCACGGAGCAGTTACGGGAAGTGCTCAGAGTCACACAGCAAGCCGGTGCCTAAGCTAACACTCAGACTTCCACTCCTGCCTAGAAGATTCCATGTCCAGGGCTCTTCCCACAGAGCAGTGCCCCCTGGCGACCACAGCAAGGGGCTGGGGAAACCCAGGGAGCAATGGGGCAACTTGAACAGAGGGGTGAAGTGGTTAGGATGGATGCAAAGATAGAGGAAGACCAGAGAGGGCTATGCGGAAGCACCCTCCCTGCCTTGCCATTATTCCCCTTGAAGAAATGGGTAAACTGAGGCAGGGGCTAACCTGGCATCAGAGCCCCAGAGAACAAGGGGGGAGCGTGGCTGTTAAGAGCCTGGGCCTTGGATCCCCAGGGACCTGGGTTCCAATCCTGGCTCTGCCTCTTACAGGCGATGTCTCTACTTTGCCTTGGGCTTTAGCTTCCCCGTCTTTGAAAAGGGCTGCCTTACACGGGAGGGTTAGATTAGCACATTAAAGGGCTCGGCACAGGGCATGCCCAGGGTAAGTACTTGCCATAATCACTGACAACATCAGTAGCCTCTCCTGGGTATCGTGACCTATACTCCGGCCCCTGCCAAGCTTACGGGGTAGAAAGAGCCCCAAATGGGAAGCCAGATGCAAAGCAGGAGACCTCTGTCCAGGCCCTGCTGCTTCCAGGTGGGAGGGACCCGAGAGCCGGTGCTGGGCAAGGTTCCCCACTTTCCTCAGGCAGCTGCAGGCACACAGCTGCACGCCTGCACCCGTTAACAGAGCCCTCGTAGATGGAGCCCTGTGAGCACCCCCTGCTCTGAGGCCCCCCCCAGAAGCTGGTGGGCCTGTGTGGGGCACCCCCTCATGGCCAGGGTGGGAACTGCAAGCCACTGAAAGCATGTGTCTCAGCTAGGGATGGGACAAGTGGGCACCAGAGTAAATGGGTCATGGCCTGCTTTGGGGCCACATAGAAGCTATGAGGGCATTGATTTCATCTTCCTGAATGGCAAGTCTTCTATCCACTCCATAAACCTCCAGGGCCCAAGGATCCTACTAAAGATCAGTCCTCCAGAGATGGGAATATCTTACATTATGCCTACTTCTTGCTCCCCACCTTCAACTGGACACACTGGAAGCCCACGGCACCTGGTTTGGGTGTTTCCCTGTCCTGAGTGGGGAGGGGCAGTGAGGACATTTGAGTTGATACCTTGACCCTGCCCCAGGGTCCCTGGCTCAGACTTCCCCCTATTACAGTATTACAGGACAGGTCCACCCCCTCCCTGGGTCCTGGGGCCTCAGTGTGGAAGCAAAAGTCCAGCTCTGCAGCTAACACACTGTGACTTCTGACAAGGCCCTTCCCTTCTCTGATGCTCAGGTGCCCCGTCTGGGCATGGCAGAGGGGAGGGGAGAGACAGGAGCAGGGGTGGCAAGAACTTGCTGGGCATCAGAAGCCCCTGTTAAAACTCAGACCCAGGGCCCTGCCTCCGGAAACTCTGGCTTGGTAAGTGCCAGAGAAGGCCTCGGGGTCAGTGATTTACCAAGTTTCCTAGTTGATTCGATGCTTGTCTGGGAGCATAATTGGAATTATTCTAAAGATTATTTAAAAAAAAAAAAAAAAAAAACCTTCCATGAGACTATTGGAGTCATTCAGCTCTCGAGATAAGTACCTAAGGTTCACCTGCTGGAAGTTATAGGACCTGGGGTTGCAATCCCTCATCTTGCTGCTTCTGCCTTTCTGTAATTCCAATGAGGAGCATCAGCTACATGCATGGAGCATCTGCTGCACTCCTGGCCTGTACTAAGGGTTTAACATGTATCATTCCATGTACTCCTCAGAGCAGCCTCTGGGTTAGATACTGCTGTTCCACTCCCTACTTTTTTTTTTTTTTTTAAATATATTTTATTGAAGGAAGGGAGAGGGATAAAGAGTTAGAAACATTGATGAGAGAAACACCGATCAGCTGCCTTCCACACACTCCCTACTGGGGATGTGCCCGCAACCAAGGTACATGCCCTTGACAGGAATCAAATCTGGGACCTGTCAGTCCGCAGGACGACACTCTATCCACTGAGCCAAACCGGTTTTGGCTGTTCCCCCTTTTTTACAGATGAGGACACTAAGGCTCAGAGAGCTTAAGTAATTTGCTCAAGCTCGCTCAACTAATAAGGGGCAGAGCTGGGACTAGAACTCTAGTCCAGAGTCCATGCTCATGACCGCAATGAGTACCATGGGAGGGCCAGGGTTCAAGAGCAGGTCTGTGTGATTCTGGGGCCCCGCCTGGCAGAGAGGTAGCCAGTTGCGAGGGCCTCACTGCCCACCTTGGACGACCACGGCTGAGTGGGGTTTCTATCTCTGCAGGTGTGTGCCCAGCTGTGCCCAACACCGTGTGCCTGCCCCTGGCCGCCACCCCGATGCCCACTGGGGGTGCCCCTGGTGCTGGACGGCTGCAACTGCTGCCGGGTGTGTGCACGGCGGCTGGGGGAGCCCTGCGACCACCTTCACGTCTGTGACTCCAGCCAGGGCCTGGTGTGCCAGCTCGGGGCGGGCCCCGGAGGCCAGGGCGCCGTGTGCCTCTGTAAGCAGGTTTGCGGAACCGATGGAGGGTGTGGTTGGAGGGGAGGAGGGGGGTCAAGGCCATGTGTCCTCGGTCAAAGGGAAGGCTTTCTCTCTCTACCTTTGCCTTCACTTCAGACCCATCATCCTCTTGCATTTACTATGGCCATGCCAACACCTGAACAGCCTTCCTCCACTCCGACCTGCCCAAACCATCGCCGTGACCTCCTCCTCCGAGAAGCCCTCCAATATTCTTCTAACCAGAAGGCATCACCCCCTCCTCAGGACCCTCCCAATACTTTTGGGAAAATAAAAGTGCAACAACCCCTTATTTAGGGCATAATATATGTCAGGCACTTTGCTAAGCACGTACTATATAAATCACAATAATCCTGTGAGGTAGGTACTGTCAGACCCGTTTTATAGATGAGGTAACTGAGGTTCGTCGATAGTAACGGACATGCTTAATTTCGCACAGCCTGGGACCTGTTCCAACAGCCTCAAAAACAACATCTGTCTCTCTTCCTCCGGGATCGGGAGCCCAGAGTTTGCACTTGGCAGTGGCCCTGATCCTCCACCTTCCACACTCCTCCGGGCCCCTGGGCTTCCTGATGCTTTAGATGGGGTTCGCAGCTCCTTGCTAGGGACATTTGGGACCAGATTATTCTTGTTGTGGGGCTGTCCTGTGCTTGGTAGGACATTCGGCAGTGTCCCAGGTCTCTGCCACTAGATGCCAGTGGCACCCTCACCCCCAAGTTATGACAAGCTGTCTTCAGACATTGCTGAATTTCCCCCAGGAGAAAATCATCTCCAGCTGAGAACTCGCTGCTTTAGAGAAATAGAAAGAAGCAAGGAACTGTTCCTTCCTTCCTTCCTTCCTTCCTTCCTTCCTTCCTTCCTTCCTTCCTTCCTTCCTTCCTTCCTTCCTTCCTTTTTCCCCTCATTCTCCCCCCAACCCCTTGCTCTAATAAGCCTTGTAGAAAATTGATCTCTTTCACCTATGTGCATGTCACATTTTCATAAAAATAAGAACAAGAGAGAGAGGCGCCCATCTATAGGAAAAACCCTGCTAACAAGCAAAACAACACTTGGAGACAGAAAGTTATCCTTAGTAAATCCTTGTTACTTTATTGGATCAGAGGAGTATAACAATAAGAAAGGGGCGATTTGTAGATAAACTCATAGATGATTGCTAATCTAAAAAGTGCCTAAAGAAAGGAGACAAGCAGCCTAGCTCATAAGGCTGATGTTTAGATTAGCATGGCGCTTGTCGGAGTTTACGTATTGCATAGCACGTAGTGTGTGCCAGCCACTAGGGGGTTCACAAATATCACCTCATTTGATCTCCTGGCAGCCATACGATGTAGGTGCAGATGCTATCTTTATTGTATAAATGGAAAAAGGAGGCACAGAGAGGTGAAGCAACTTGCCCAGAGTAACATAGCTCCTAAGTGGCTGAGCTGGGATTTGAACCCAGGATGCTGGCTCCACAGTCTTAGTTTCCATTGCTCTACTGCTTGACACTCGACATATGCTTGGTACCTAGTGGCTACTATTGCCAATAACTTCATTCAGGGGCCTTTTCTTTCTTTTGTCCATCTTGGTTCAGACTCAAACACCTGGAGGCCAAGCATTTATTTGGTCCTTGTTCCTTCCTGTAACTCCCAGACCCAATCTGACAACATGGTGGATGCTCATGAATGTTTAATGATATGAACTGAATTTGGAAACTGGGAGCCGGTGAACCCCACAGGGTGGGCCAGAGCCAGCTAAGAAGTCACAGGGGCTGAACTAGTTCTTGAGGGACACCAAGCCCCTGGCTTCCCACACCCACATGTGCAGCTTCTGCAGCTCAGTGGGGGTACCTCGTGCTGTTGGGACCATGCCTGAGTGCACCAGGCTGGGGAGTGGTTTCCAGGCGTCAGTCCCCCACCCCTCCCACAGCCCGCTCTGAGCTGATGACCCAGGAGAGGCGCCAGGAAACCTTGCTAAAATTATCGCCCTTCCAGCTGACTTTCCTAAACAGTCCCTCTGTTTACAGCTTATCTCAGCAACCAAGAGGCCAGGGACTGTGGCACCAGGGCCGGGAGGCTGGGCTCGGCCAGGCTGGGGAGAGGGATGAAGGTATACCCCTGGCCCCTGCTGCAGTTTTTAGGAAACCAGTGGCCACAGGGTCAAGGCCAAAAGGTTGGGATTGAAGCGAAAGGGCTGTGGCCTGGAAGGAGGAAGGAGGGAGCACTGACACAAGTCCTGTTCCCCCTGAGGAAGAAACGTATTTATTGAGCATCTGCTATGTCCTGAGCTCAGGGCAAAAGGCTCTGAGGTGGCTGGCTCATACAATCCTCCCGTGGCCCGGTGCCACGGCTCAGAGAGGTGCAATACTTGCCTTCAGCTTGCAAGTGGGGATCTGGGGTTTGAACCCAAGTCTATATGGTTCCCAACTTCCTGCATGTGTACGGACTGTTTGAGGTTTTTCTCTGAAGACCTAGGAAAACCTGCTTCCCTTCCCAGCCCCCGCTGAACTGACACCACGTCTCCAGGAAGCTTCCTGATGGCTCCTTCCTTTGCCCTCCCCCCGCGGCCCCACACCTCTCCAGGGCAGTTGATTGTATATCTTGGAGATGATGACCTTCACATCTGTCTCCCCCACCGGCCCCCGAGTCTCCCCAGGCAAGGACTGTGTCTCAGTCCTGTCTGGGAGTACAGCGGTTGGCACACAGACAGGGCACAATATACGTCTCAGGAATTAGAAGGAGTCAGAACTCCGTTATCAGTGTCTCTTACATGCTGGGCCCGGTGCCAGGCATTCATTCAAAGGAGGCGGAGTGTCCCATTCATGCTGGGAGCCAGCACGGGGAATGCCAGGATGAACACTCTCAGGCCCAGCCTTCAGGAGGCCATGTCCAGCAGAGGAGGTGGTATTGATGCCCATGTCTTGAGGGCTTCATTCGAAGAATATTTCCTGAGCACCTGCTATATGCCTGGCCCTATGCTACATGCCATGTACCAATTATCTCATGTAACTGAAGGGGGAGGTTGCTGCTCTCATCATCGCTACTGTTCAGGTGGCTCAGAGAAGTGGAGTGGCTCGCCTGAAGTCACACAGCCAGCCCTGACCTGACAGTGATGACTGCGCAGGCAGATGGACAATGGACGCTTGCTGCATGAACTCTCAGCGTGTACATCACGATTATCCATTAGTGATCTATCACAATTAAGCTGATAACTACAACAGAGCAGACATCTCCCTCCGGGTGTAGTCATTACATACATCAAGCTGTTTAGTCTATACCATGACCCTGTGAGATACAGGATGGGCACAAGTAGGTTTACCGTTGTATGTGAAACAGAGTTTATTCTTGTGTCATTATTTTATTTATTTATTTATTTATTTATTTATTTTTACAGAGAGGAAGGGAAAGGGATAGAGAGTTAGAAACATCTATGAGAGAGAAACATCCATCAGCTGCCTCCTGCACACCCTCCACTGGGGATGTGCCTGCAACCAAGGTACATGCCCTTGACTGGAATCAAACCTGGGACCTTTCAGTCCACAGGCCGACGCTCTATCCACTGAGCCAAACCAGTTTTGGCCTGTGTTATTATTTATTAATTATTGTTATTGCTTACATTGCAACTGTAAACCTACTTTTTCCCACCCCTGCAAGTAACCCACTTTGCAGGAGAGGAAACTGAGGCAAGAAGAAGGGAAGTCACTTGGCCAAAGTCCACAGCTAATAAAGGGGCTCAGACCAGGCAAGTCTTCTCGCCAGCCCTGTAGGAGGTCATGCTGACTTCCTGCAGGTGCCAGGGCAGCCGGCCATGGGAGGGGTGCATGTGGCAGGGCTGCAGCCCCCTGGCAGTGTTCGGATGCCCCAAGGGCACAGCCCCCCAGTGGGACAGAGCCAGTGGAGGAAGTGGCCGGCCCAGCCTTGCCCGGGGCAGGTGTGGGTCACCGATGGGGCCCTCTCTCTCCTCCGCAGGGGGAGAGGACGACGGGGGCTGCGAGGTGAACGGCCGCTGGTTCCGGGACGGGGAGACCTTCCAGCCGCACTGCAGGGTCCACTGCCGCTGCGAGGACGGCGGCTTCACCTGCGTGCCCCTGTGCGGCGAGGACGTCCGGCTGCCCAGCTGGGACTGCCCGCACCCCCGGCGGGTGGAGGTGCCGGGCCAGTGCTGCCCGGAGTGGGTGTGTGACCAGGCCGGGGCGCTGGGGGGCCAGCCCCTCCTGGCCCAAGGTGAGTGCGGGGCTGCCCGGAGGGCGGGCCTCTGAGGGGCAGATGCCTGCAATCAGAGGGAAGGTTTTAGAGCAGAAGCGGGGTGGGGGCAGGAACGCTGGCCGAGGAGACATAGGAAAGCAGAGTGGAGAGGCACAGAGACCTCTTTAAAACTGACTAAACAGGAAACAGTGAGTGTGTCATTCTAAATCATAAATAAAAAAGTCCAAATTGTGGCAGAGTGGAGAAGGGAAAGGAGGGTTGGAATACTTGAACCAAATTCTCACATTTCATAGCAAAGTATACTATTATAATATATACTAGAGGCCCGATGCATGAAATTTGTGCACGGGGCATGTGTGTGTGTGTGTGTGTGTGTGTGTGTGTGTCCCTCAGCCCAGCCTCTCCAATCTGGGACATCCCTCTTACAGTCCAGGACTGCTGGCTCCCAACCGCTTACCTGCCTGCCTGCCTGCCTGATTGCCCCTAACTGCTTCTGCCTGCCAGCTGATAATCCCCTAACCACTCCCCTGCCAACCTGATTGATGCCTAACTGCTTCCCTGCCAGCCTGATTGCCCCTAACTGCCCTCCCCTGCTGGCCTATTCTCCTCTAACTATCCTTTCCTGCTGGCCTGGTCCCCCTCCCACATCCTCCCTCCCTACCAATTGCCTTCCCTTGCCAGCCCGGTCACCCATAACTGCCTGTAGGCCTGATCACCTACAACTGCCCTTTCTTGCCGGCCATCTGTGTCCACATGGAGGCAGCCATCTTGTGTGTGCGTGTGACGGTCAATTTGCATATTACCTCTTTATTACATAGTATTCTTTTATACCTAATTATACCATGTTAATAATATATTTATATAACAGACAAATATCCTATAACATATAACACTAATATAATACTAGTGGGCTTGCCAACAGAAACACGCCAAGCTAAACATAGCAGCATGGTTGCGCTGGACACGGGCCTAAGGGGTGTGCAGGGCGGAGAAAAGAAGTTACCTTCTGCCATAAATTCTTTTCTTTTCTTTTTTTAATTTTTAAAAATATATATATTTTATTGATTTTTAACAGAGAGGAAGGGAGAGAGATAGAGAGCTAAAAACGATGAGAGAGAAACATCGGCCAGCTGCCTCTTGCACACCCCCTACCGGGGATGTGCCCACAACCAATGTACATGCCCTTGACCGGAATCGAACCTGGGACCTTTCAGTCCGCAGACCGATGCTCTACCACTGAGCCAAACCGGCTTCGGCTGCCATAAATTCTTTAATTTTAGAGACTTTGTTGTTGATATGTGTGGATTTGTAAAAAATTATTATGATGTGAATGTGATATTAAAAAAAAAAAAAAAGGGAACTGAAAAGAGAGCACTGACCCCCCAGGTGATGGAGCCGCAGGGGAAGCAGGAGCGCGTGGGGGGCTGAGCATGAAGCCGGCCCAGGTTCTAAGGCAGCTGAGCTGCGTGACTCTGAGGAAGCTGCCGAACCTCTCTGTGCCTCGGATCCTTCAGCTGTGAAATAAGTGTCCGCCTCACAGAGCTGCTGCGAGGACTGAGGAGTTAACACCAGTAAACGCCGTCAGTTCAGGGCCTTGCACCCAGCACTCCACTGGGGGCAGCTATCATCCCGACAGAACATGACACAGCCGTTCAAACCCACAGAACTCCTGTATAAAAAGCAGGATGGGATGCCATGTGTGCGATCTCTCTCTATTATGTGCATGCATATGTGTCTGTCTGTGAGTATAGGTACATGCACACATAATACATGCTGCACACATGTGCACATACCAGAGAGCTCTCCATCATGGCACTGCTGACATTTGGGCCGAGTGGCTCCCGGTGAGGGGCTGCCATGCGCATGGCAGGAAGTTTAGCAACATCCCTGTCTGTCCCTGGACCCCAAAGTAACCTCCCTCAATGGTGACAACCACACACATCTCCAGACATGGCCAGGTGACCCCTGGGGGACACTGTTGCCCCTGGATATGGACCACTTGTAGACGGGGCCAGAAGGAAGGACACCAGAATATCAGCAGAAAAGAATCAAACGGGAGGAGGGAGACCCAGACCCCGGTGACCCCGCCATGGTGTTCCGGGCGCGGCCTTGGGGTCACTACATCCCTGTTGCCTCACACAGGCTGTCACCTCCGTGTAAAATGGGGAGCCCACTGGTTCCTGGGGGAGGGCCATGGTCAGCACCATCAGTAACCTGATAACCACCCTGTATGAGGTGTTTACAGGTGCCAGGCACTATGCAAAGTGCTTCACCTCCTCCATTATTTTATTCAGACCTAACAAAGGTGAGAGAATTCACACAGGTTCAAGTACCAGCACTCCGCTGAGTACTTCACCTGCTCCATTCGATACTGCGATTAGGAAGTTGACACAGGAAGGAACTGAGGTCCAGAGAGGTGAAGCAACATGGCCCGGATTGCGCCACAGCCCAGAGCGTTGATTTGGCTGCCAAGTCCTGACCCAGAGCTGACCCTTCCTTCTCCCCCCAGGACTCCAGGCGTCCGGCCTTGTGGCTCCGCCTCCGATGCCGGGGGTCCCCTGCCCAGAGTGGAGCACGGCCTGGGGCCCCTGCTCCACCACCTGCGGGCTCGGCGTGACCACCCGGGTGTCCAACCAGAACCGCTTCTGCAGGCTGGAGACGCAGCGCCGCCTGTGCCTGTCTGCGCCCTGCCCGCCCGCCAGGGGCCACAGCCCCCTCCTCGGGGCCTTTTAGCGCCGGGCCCAGCGGGCAGTCTCGGCTACAGGCAACCGTCCAGCTCGGGTGCTCCATCCGGGCCCTGGAGGACATAGATGGGGGATGCCTGCCTTAGTCCCGTTCCCTCTAACTCCCAGTCAGGGGGCAGGGAGTGTGGGGGTGGGGGGGAGTGTCTTCTGGTCCATTCCCAGCCTGCACACAGCCTTTACCCAAGATGCACGTGGGCTAGCTTGTCAGGAGATGGGGCAGCCGTCTCTGCTTAACCATGGGCTCAGGCAGGTACTGGGCTGCGCTGGCCATTTTCCTGGGGTGTGGTGACGAAGGGCACAGGTCTCCTGCGTCTCCCGCATCCTCTCCTGTGGGCATGCAAACACCTCCCGACCCTATGCCAGTGCAGGACGCTGGGTGCCGGGCGCTGTCAGAAAGCCTTCCGCATCCCGGGCAGAATTCAGGGGCCGAACGCTTTGTGAAAATCGCACGATAAAATCATTTCTTAAACAAGCCAGAGAACAGGCCCTCAAGCGCTCCCTTACTCAGCTTGCATCGGAGAGCATCCCCCCGCACTGAGCACCCGCACACGGCACCGAGCTAGGCACTTCGCACAGACCCGCGCTTTGCAATGTGTTGGACTCGAGCAAAGCAGGGGAGCGTGTCCTCCGGGAACTGGGGATCACGGTCTGAAATAAACCGACCCACCTGTGAAGCTCTGTCCGAAGTCTCATGTCTGGTCGTGTGAAAAACCTTCCCTATACGTTTATATCCTCCTCTGGGCCTGCTGTGTTTGCTCGCAAATATTATAGAAACCGTTTTCTTCAGGATTCAGCGAGGAAATTAGAAAACACACAGTCAGACTCACAGGCCTCACGTGTAGGATTGAACGAGTCTTTATCATGCACACACCCGTGTGACACGCACCTCAATCAAGGCAGAAACCACTCCCACCACTTCCTGCCCCTTCCTGTTCACCCCTCCGCTCGCTTCCTGGAGGCTGATTCCTGTCACCAAAGATGAGTGTTGCCTGTTCTTGAACTTCACATAAATAGAATCGCACAGTAGGTATGTCTTTACTGGCTTCTTTTGCTCAGTACCAGCTCTGGGGCGAAGGGGCCGAGGGGCGGAGGGAGGGCAGAGCCCAGAAGCCAGGACCAGCCGGCAGAAGATAGAACCACAGCAAGCTGTCTGCCTGGAGCAGGAGATGCAATCTCCTGAGGGCGTGCAATCTCTGAGGAGATGCGATCCTGTAGACCTTACAAAAAGCAGGAGGAGATGGGGATAGACCCGGCTTCTGCTCTTTTCTGTCCCCCAGTTTCCGGTGGGGCCTCCCATTGGTCAAACCCACTGGAAGGTGGAAGGGGAGGGAACCTGAGAATGCAGAGCCCGAAACACCACGCAGAGCAGGGCAGGGCGGGGAGAGCTTGAGAGCAGGGGTGAGTCCAGCCCACTCAGATGCCAGCTCCTCCCACTGGGGATCAAACCCACATCCTAGGCTTGTATCCTGGCCTGGAATCAAACCAGCAACTTTTTGGTGCACGGTGATGCTCAGCCAACTGAGCCACCCCGGCTGGGGTGTAGAATATTATGTGATTTAAATAAAAATCTTAGTAGTTATCTTGGCTTGACTTCTTGGTGCTTTCGTTTTCCATCTGGAAAACGGGCATAAGTAAGAGAGCCCGCCCTACAGGGTCACAGTGATGCCATCACACAGGGGCTCTGTATGTATTAGGTCATTCCTCTATGTTTGCCTAACATATAAGCTGTCACCATCCGCCTCCATGGTCCCCACCATGGTTCTTGCCAAGTCAGAGAGAGAAATTAAAGCAAGGGCCGAGAATCTTCTTGTCTGTGAAGAGGAGGAGGAGGAGATGAGGGGTGAAGGTCCCAGGTGGAAATCGGGCTACCCCATTGGAACTCACAGCCAGAGGGACCCAGCTTGCCATTCCCATTTTAGCTGTACATTGCAGCCACAGTGTTGTAAGCTGTATCCACGTTGCTGCAAGTCACAATCTTCTATTGTGTGAATAGACCCACATTTCCTTTATTCATTCTCCTTTCCATGGGCATATGGGTAGTTTCCAGTTTGGAACTGTTGTGAATAGGGCCACTGTGAACATTCTAGCACATTGGTAAACATTCCTGCTGGGCATATACTCAGAAGTAAAATTGCTAGGTTGGGGCCTAGGTCAGGTTATGCCCCCGTAGAACGGAAATCTCTACACATAACAGGGACTTATTGCAGAAATAACAAAGTCAGAGCTAACACTTATTGAGCTCTAACCACAAAGCAGGCTTTGTTCCAAGCATCTTCTATGCAGTGACGACTCACTCGATCCCACTCTAACCCTTTAAAGTAAGTAAAATAAGCCCATTTCATAGACAGAGACACTGAGGTACCGAGAAATTAAGGAAATAGCCCAAGAGCACAAAGTTCAAGGTTGGCAAAGTCAATATTCAAACCCAGAGCCCCAGCTCCAGAAGCCTGACCGAAGTCACTACCGGGTTCGGGGGTAAGGTGCCAGGCCTGGAGGAAAACCGGAGGAGAGAGGAGCAGGGCCTGACCACCCCTGCGGGTCTTGTTTGAAGGATGGATATGAGAAGCAGGGAGATGAGAGCTAGCAAGTCCCTGGGCTTCCTGCTGAGGGCGGTTGGGAGGGGCCACACACAGAAGCCAGGAAGAGCAAAGCTGAACCCACAGGGGCAGACAGGAGAGGGCATTTGAGATATTTTAAGTTTGAAGGTGAAGTAGTCACCAGGGCAGGAGGAGGTTGGGTCAGGTCTGCCCTAACAGGTTTGGCTCAGTGGATGGAGCGTCGTCGGCCTGCGACTGAAGGGTCCGGGGTTCGATTCTGGTGAAGGGCATGTGCCTTGGTTGCAGGCACTTCCTCTGTGGGGAAACATCGATGCAGGAGGCAGCTGATCAATGTTTCTCTCTCATCAATGTTTCTAACTCTCTATCCCTCTCCCTTCCTCTCTGTAAAAAAAAAAAATCAATAAAATGTGTTTTAAAAAAAATGGGTCAGGTCTGACACAGAGAGGAGATCGGGTGGAGAATCCGAGTCGTCTGCAGAAAGGAGAGAAGGAGGGAAGGAGGATGGCAGAGCCAGTTTAGTGAGGGACACAGACAACCAGCATGTGTGTGTGTTGGTGTGTATAACCGGTCATCACCCAGCCCTATCCCACCGCTCCCCGCCAGCCGGCCAGGCCGCCATCAGCTCCGCCCAGACGAGTGCAGTGGCCTCCTCCCGGGCTCCTGGCTTCCACTCCGGCCCCTTACAGTGTGAGCCAGAAGGACCCTGTGGAAACCAAGCCAGACAACATCACCCCTTTCCCTCTGAGGAAGCAAAAGGCTTTCACGCAACCTGCAAGCCCCACCCTCCCCAGTCAGCCCTCTGTCCGCACCCTCAGGGGCTGTCCCCCCTGCTCACGCTGCTCAGACTCATGGCCTCCCTGCTGTTTCTCAAACACATCAGCCATGCACCCACCTCAGGACCTTTGCACAGGCTGTTCCCTCTGCCTGGCATCATCTTCCCCCAATATCACCGATGCATGCAGCACACACCACCTTTTAGTACGTTACATAACCCACTTATAACGTTTATTTGTTGCCAGATTACACAAGCACTGGGACATTATCTGCTTTGTTCACTGATGCATCTCCGGGACCTAGAATAGTGCCCAGGAGGCTCGGTTGTTATTGAATGAGTGAAATAACACATCTTGCTTTTTAAAAGAGGACTTACTAGTGCATTAAAAAGTAAACATGATGTTGACAAATGGGAGTGGCTGCCCACTTCACAGTGATCTCTCAGTGTCATGTCAGCGTGGGTCAGCGCTCACCCCGGCCCCAATCAGCAACCTCGGTGTTTCTGAGTGGGGTACCCAGGCCAGAAGTAGCAGCATCACCTGGCACCTGTTGAGAAATGCAAACATATTGTGGCCCGTCCCAGGCTCACAGACTGCGGGGGTGGGGTTCATAAATCGGTGTTTTAATAAACCCTCCACCTCGTTAAAATCTAGGTCACCTTACACTGTGACTCCAGACAAGAATCCGAAGAAAACGGTGCTGTGCTGCTGCCCCCTAGTGGCATTCTGGTGCACGAACTGCGGAGAAGCAGCCAACCTAGAGGAGCCTCACAGACTGGGTCCAGCTGCCTCCTGTTTCCCAGGTGGAGAAACTGAGTCTTGGTAAAGAGAGGCACCGTGCCCAGGTCTCCGAGGGGGGCAGTAATAGATCTAGGCGTAGGATCCTTTCCTATTTGTGACCAATGCAGCAGCTTCCTTTTCTCAAAATATTTAAACAGACGCCGGAAGGGACCCTGCAGGGCCCTGAGCCAGGGCGCCTCCATCTGTCCCCTGGCTGACTCCTTGGTCCCTCTGCCCACAGTCCAGCTCTCTCCTCCCATCGGCCCTGCTGCCCAGCCAGAAAGATCTTTCTAGAGCACAATTATGGTTATGTCACTCTGCCTGAACCCCGCTGAGGCACGGCACTGCCCTCTGGGCTCCGTCCAGACTCCTTCCATGACTCACGGGCCTGCTGGGTCTCCCAGACTCTTCTGTGCGCCAGCCACACCGGGCAGCTCAGAGGCCGCCCTCCGCCCAGGCCTTTCCCCAGGTGGCACCCTCCATCCAGGCCTTTCCCCAGGCGGCACCCTCTGCCTGGGGCACTCTTTCCCCACCACCAGAGGACCCCTGATTATTCCTCATTGGCCACAGTTCCCACATTGACCGAGGCCCAGTGCCCTGCCTGCTGGAGAGCTGTGCGAGGGCCAGATGAGCCCGCCTGTGAATGCACTTGGCACATGCGAAGTTCCGCCTGCATTCTAATTATGTTTTCAGGAATGTACATTGTGTGCTCATTTCCCCGGGTCCCCCAACAGCCTCTGAGTCCTGGGGGCACAGAGCAGGCAGCCTGCTGAAACGCAGGAAGTCACGAGAAGAGCAGCTTCTACTCCCCCGGCACCGCCTCCACGGACACCAGCCTCGTAGCTACAGACAAAGGAGCTAGATGGGCCCTGGTGCCC